GGGCCGCGCCGCGCCCTCCCCGCCCCCCCCGGCCCGGGCCGCCACCGGCGTCTCCCGCAGCGGCAGCTCACCGCCACCGCGGCCTTTCGGGGCTCGGCCGAAAGTACCGGGGACAAAAATGCATCGCGACGTGCCGCCGCCTCCGGGGGAGGCCAGGCCCGCAGCGCAGCGGTGGCCGCCCCCCGCCACCATCCGACACCGGCTTGCTGCTTCCTAAACCGGCCTCGTGGGAAAGGGGTTCAGCGTCTCCGAGCGCTCGCCCCCGGGGACAGGGAGAGCTTCCAAGCTCCCGGAGGCCGGCGGCTTCCGCGGGCCCCGGCCCCCTCCCCACGGGGCCGAGGGCCGCCGCAGCGCACCGGGCCTGGGCCTGGCTTCAGAGGGACTCCCACAAGTCTGTCAGGACTGCGGAAGAGCTCTAAAAAATTAATCTGCTTTGGGTGTTTAACTCGTGTCAGATTTCAACAGGCGGGGAAAATGAACACCTTCGCGCCCTGGGGCAAGTCGGGCCGACAGGATGACAGAAACAAGGAAGAGCCCAAGTACTTACAAATTACCAAACGGCACATACTAAACTTGAAAACTGGACCATGTTTTTATTCAAAGCATCTATTAAAATGACAGCATATCCACTCTTCTGCTGTTAAGTCATGCCAAACTACAACTTCAATCGTTTGAAGCACTGAATACTTCAACATTTCTTGTATGTAATCACTTCTTCATAAAACAGAAAGCAGTCTTCCACACCTCTTTTTTTTTTTTTAACTTGGTATTTTACCCAAAACTTGTTGCAACACAAAACTGCTTCAGCTGTCTGAATTCTGAATTCTACAGCCAAGTACAATTCAGTGTACTCATCATACTTGAAGAAATATGCTGCAAATTGCCCGAAGCATTACAGCTGACTGGGAAAAAAAAATTTTAAAAATCAATCCTAATGAAGTAAGATTATGACTCCAGCCTGCAACTGGCTGGTAATTACACAGTCTTGTGCCCTGTGAAATACTACTCAGAAGCAATTCTGACTGATGACTCAGAAGCACAACAGTGAGCTCTGGGCTCATTCTGGAATGACACTTACTTGCATGAGGCGAACTGAACAGTGAAAAGCATGCAACTTATTTGAGAAACTCCAAACCAACACAGGCAAATTACCAGTTTTACATAGGCTAGGAAGCCTAGAATGACTACAGTGTTTCATACTTTTAAGCCTAAAAGACTTAAAACAGAAACAAATGAGACTGATAGCAGCTCGGTTTAGGAGCTGAAAGCAAAAAACTGTATCACTCATGCAAAACTATTTACATTCCATAAAAGTGATTTTTTTTATTTATTTTTTTTTTTTTTTTAGTTATTCAATTACTCTTTAGTTAAGTGCATCAATACTCAATTTAAACAAACTGGGTTAATGAGCTTGTCAACCCTAACAGTTTATCAATTATCAGAGAACATAATCCAACAGTTGCAGTTGCTGGTATAAAATAACACTACTTTTCTGGAACAGCTGTATGCATCTGGTCAGTCTATAACAAGTGATTGATAAAATGATTTCTTCCTCTTGTTTAAGCAAGAGGGAAAGTGGCTTCCCTTCTTATCTGAATTTCTTAACCTTCAACGAGAGGAAGGAGTTAAAGCAAGCAGGTCAGTAAATACAAATCATTAATATCCCCTATAGCAGTAGCTTAACAAACAAACAAAAAACCAACCAACTCCCCCCCCCAAAAAAAAACCAACCACACCAAAAAGTTCTATCTGAAAACAAAGTTTCGTTAGCATATTAGGACTCTCTGGTTGCCTTCAAAGCAAAATACAGAAAAATATCACCATGAGACAATGCTATTTGAAAGTATACAACATTCACGAAGTGACAAGATATACTGCTAAACATTTTATATCAGCATCTGAGTACTACGCAGCATTCTGTAACTTCATTTATTTGGGAAATACATGAAATCACACTGTTAACATGCTTGTAGCTATCTTTGGAAGCCTATTTTCTAGTTGTATAGTGAATACTTTTATGCAGTGTTTAATTGATAGCTGTGCTACAGTTAGTGAAGACAAAATTGGCATGTTATCCTGAAGTAAAGCAATAAGGTGGCTTTATGCACAGAAAGTACGGAGGCTTCTATTTGCTAATAATCATGTAAAAGCAATACTTCAAAACTTAGTGTTTGCTAACAGGAAATCTAGAATAGTTTACTACAAATCCATACCACCCTGTAAATATCCCCTTTAATAAGAAAATCAAGTGCCAAATCACTACAGGGTCCAAAAATATCTGAAAAAAATATTACCAATTGTTTACCTTTGTCTAGACTTTGCAAGACTAATCATTTTCAGATAAATCCAAAAATGTGCAAAAGTTCCTAACATCACATGTTAGGAACAACAAGTGCTACCAAGAAATTCTGCTGAAATCAAATCAGAAAACTTAAAACAGCAAAGTCAAGCCTCATACCTTGAGCAGTCAGATCTTAGTTTCCTGCATGAAGCAGTTTCTTCCCCTCTACAGGTTGAGATAACTAAGCTTTGCCTTCCGCCTCAGTGATACTGACATTAGAAAAACAGTTTCACTACTGCTTAACCATATCTTCAGCCCTATCACGTAATATAAATTTGCTTAAACTGTCAGATAAATACTTTTCTTTTTGCCAGCCTTCTTTGGCCACGTGTACCATTCCGCTAATTGCGAACACTTTGTTCAGAAAGTGCTTCCTGTGAAAACTGCTTCAAAATAAATGAGTTAACCTTGCAAAATCTAGCTCCCCACAACACGTAAATTTGTCAACCCTGCATTATGCAGTCCTGTATTTACAAAATACTTAGAAACTTTACATCTGTCTTTTACCTTACAAAAAGTGCAATTCTCTCACCCCATGTTATGGGGCAACAACATTCTTCATAAATTCTACAGAATAGCAGCCTATGATAAGCAAATAAGGTGCTTAGCTTATGCTCAGGATCTAACTGGTTAAGTACCACCAGGAAGTACGCTTTGTATAGGCAGACTCTGTTCCTATCTATTGTCACATGGGTGCCACAGCTAGGTTTGCAAGCTCAATGAGAGCCAGCGCACCATGCATGCGCTCACGCTGTTCCTGGAGGCGGCGGCAGGCAGCTGAATGAGCGCTGTTTTTCTCTTCATCCTCCTCTTCATCAGATTGAAGATATTCCATCGGGTCCTGCTGTTCCTGATCTGTTTTCTGGATTGTTTTAGTTTTCAAAGCAGGAGCACGCTGTTCTCTAGTCTCCCAGTATCTACAAAATCAAATGTGGGGAACGCTTTTAAAATATACACAACTGACTCGCACACCAACAATTCAAAGCTGGCAAAAACCTCCCAAGTACTCACTCACTTGCATTTGACTAAGCACTGCATTTGACTTTATCTTTCAGCCCTTATATGGCAGAATTTAAAGGCGTCAGAAACCTCCTTTATTCAGTATTTTAAGTGTAAAGGGCCCAATTGAACATCTGTGACAAATTTCTCCTCTACATGGTGTTCCCAGCAGGCGTTTCTCCCTTTGCCTATGCAGTTGTTGCCACTCATACACATGCAAATTCAGCAAGACTGTAGCACTAACTAACAAGATATGAGCAGGTGTTGATCAAGTAAAGAGAAGCATTTAAGCAAAAAAAAAAAAAAAAAAGATAACAAAACATCTCATTAGGAACTTTGTCTTGACCAGGAGTTCACACTTCTTTAAGGAAAGGCAAGGCTGGGCTTATTTGTACTGGAGGAACATCTGGTTTTGGTTTGTTGGGGTTTTTTTTCGCCCTAAGAATAAAATGCTCTCTCAGACCAGCCTTACAAGTATTTAGAGAAAGATGACACCATGAGAGAACTTACTTTGCTAGCCACTCAGCCACAGCTTTATTGTCAGCTGTCTGCTTCTTAGTCAGCCTGTCTGTGAGCTCTTCCCTCTTCAGTCGGGCATATGGATGTTTGGGGCAATGACGGTTTGCATGCGTGAATCTGCTTAAACAGCCTTAAAAAACATGAAGTGACAATGAAAAACACATTACAGAAAGCAGCCAACCAACGAGTAAGCATAATGTCTGTGGGATGAAGATGCTGCTGAATCCAACCTTCCTTACTCACAAAACCCTAGGTTTGGTTGAAAATGGCAAGTTCTAGTTGCAAGGTTCATAACAAGGCCCATCATTTTATACACTACTATCGACTGACAGAATGTCCTGGTTTCGGCTGGGATAGAGTTAATTGTCTTCCTCGTAGCTGGTACAGTGCTGTGTTTTTGAGTTTGGTGTGAGAAGAATGTTGATAGCAACAACTGAAAACATCAGTGTTAAGTAATGTCTAGTCTAAAGCCAAGGATTTTTCAGCTTCTGATGCCTAGCCAGCAAGAAGGCTGGAGGGACACAAGAAGATGGGAGGGGACACAGCCAGGGCAGCTGACCCAAACTGGCCAAAGGGGTATTCCATACCATGGGATGCCATGGGGCGAGTAGGGGTAGGGGGATCGCTGCTCAGGGACTAACTGGGTATTGATCGGCAGGTGGTGAGCAATTGCATTGTGCATCACTTGTATAGTCCAATCCTTTTATTATTACTATTGTCATTTTATTAGTGTTATCATTATTAGTTTCTTCTTCTCTGTTCTATTAAGTTGTTCTTAACCCATGAGTTTTACTTTTTTCTTCCGATTCTCTCCCGCATCCCACTTGGCGGGGGGGGGAGTGAGTGAGCACCTGCGTGGTGCTTAGTTGCTGGCTGGGGTTAAATCACAACACAGAATTACTGATAACCTACTCACATAATAACATACGCAATCCTTGGATACATATTTGCATGATTATGCAGATTCTGTGTGGCTCCTCCCTTCCCTAGAAGCTACTCCAAAATTAAAACCCAAAGCTTTTATGGATCTTTGTCACAGCATGAATGTGCATACATTTCTAGTACTAGACTGACCCTAGTTCTGAAAGCTGCAAATTGTTCTCTGATGGCTCACCATTCTCGGAGCAGACGAAAGGTTTCTCCCCTGTGTGGAGACGCTGGTGAGTTTTGAGCTGCCCACTCTGAACAAAGGCTTTCCCACAATCTGGGTAGTCACACAAATAAGGCCTTTCACCTTAAAAATAATAACAGAACAGATTTATGAAAGATGAATGTAAAAAGTCATAGTATCCAGTGGTGGTCCCTGGCTTGAGACTTACGCAAGCAAGCTCTCCTTTTACCCACTCGGACGCTTGCATCTACCTAAAAAGCCCTGGCGTACCAAATAGCAGAGATCCACTTTTACCCCAAACAGATCTTTACTTTGGAGCACATGCTCAATGCCTCAATGCTACTGGGTAACACAATTACTTCCGGGGACAGGGGGTGGGGATGACATGACCAAAATTGTATTTTTCCTTGTCATATTTTCTGATTCAAGACTCTTGCACAGCACTACGTAAGCTTTGTCCCATGAAGCTATACACCTACAGAGCAAGAAATATATGAAGTGAAACGAGTAAACGGACAAGTAATGAAATTCACATTGTAACCAGATAAATTTTATGCTTAACATAGCCTGAACTAAGGTAAAATAACTGAGGTCAACAGTATAGAAATATACGAAATTGTAGAAACATCTCATTAGGGAAGACTATTTGAGAAAAGTTGTATCAGGTACATGGAGGTCCCAAGAGAAACTTATTCCAGACTTAAGCCAATAAAGTTTTCTGAGGCCAGTCATCAAGGGAGACTTCCCCCATGCAAACCACAACAAGAACAGAGACAGCAGGTGTCTCCTCCCTCAAGAGGATCTGACTGTGTTCAACTCTGCAAAGGCATGCCATGGCACCGCTCCTCAGGAGGGATGACAAAACGGGGGTGATGATGACTTACTAAGTCAGAGGAATAACACCAGGGTAAGCTCTGCTCAATTAAGCAGTTCATACAACTTCAACACCTAATACAACTAAGTGAAATAAAAACATCTTTTGACCAAAGTGCATGAGGAAACTGCTGTTTAATATTAGTATCTAGATTAGACTTAGCGACTTGAATCAGAACAAGAGACTGTGGGAGCCAAGGTTTTTCTGGGGTTTCGTTTGGTCGGTTTGGGTGTTTGGGGGGGGGGGGGGGCAGTATCGGTGGTTGTGTCCTTATTGCGAGCTACATTAGTTCACACTTTATTGCAAATACAGAGTCCTGTTGCAACATGAATAAAAAAACCCCACCAACACTATTTGCTTGGTTTAAAAAACCAGCATCATCTCCTGTTCAGTTCAAGCTCAGCTAGGTATTGACTGAGCTGATCCCACATTTTAACTTAACTGCGAGTTGCCTTCTACATACAGCTCAGTAAATCAGTGCAACCACCTTCACCCCAGAACACAAATTCTAGGTGGTGGGAGAGACAACTGGATGGTGACGTTAAGCATTTGAACTCTTTTCCCAACGTTTAAGCTACACTTGTAGGTGTTACACTGCCCAAGTTATCATCCACCTTTTAAGCTACTGTCTCCTCATACAGCTAAACTTCAACTGCTGTGTGAAAAATACACCAGCAAAAAGGAAGCAAATCACAGAGAAGAGGCAGCCAGAATAAACAGTGCTACCACGTACAGAGCACCACCCTCTAGAATAAAGTTCTTCCTCTCGCAAAGTAAGCCTGTGACAGCAGCAGATAAAATATCTACACCGTTTGGCTACTCTGTTACAGCCCGAACTGCTGCTACACGTCTCCAAGACGAACACAGTTACAAAGACTTTGATTGCACTAACAAGCACTGGAAGAAGAGCCTGATTAATTTAACAGTTACAGCAAAATATTAGCAGGCCGAATTTGTTGTTTTTTTCTGCGGGTTTGGGGGGGGGGGGGGGTTTAATTGCGGGTTTGGGGGGGGTTTTTTGTCCTTTTTTTTTTTGTTTGTTTTTTAATTCCTTCGCTGCTGCTCCCCAAGCTGCTCACGCCGGCTATTCACACCTTCCCTTTACTCACCGGTATGAGTTCGTTTGTGGGCCTGCAGCGACTTCTCTCGTGGAAAGACCCTGTTGCAGATATTGCAACGTATTCTGCTGGAAGAGTGCTCTCCTTCATGGATCAGGTCGCGGACGGTGTCTGCCCTCGGCCGGCCGCGCCTTATCCCATCCTGCATTGGAAGAACCACGGAACTGACAGCCCGCACGCTCCCGCCCCTGCAGTCCAGCCCGGAACCCCAACGCTCCCGCTGAAGCAACTCTGAAGCCGCGGCTGTGACCGCGGGCGGCCGGTGCCCTGGCGGCTCGGCCGTTAACCGAAGGGCCGCGCGCCACGCCCTCACCTCGCCCGCTGCCAGCAGCCAGCCTGCGGCCGGCAGGTGCAGGTGGGGAGACGCCGGGCGCCGCCGGCGCTCAGACGCGCGCGCGGGGAAACGGGCAGCGAACCGGCGGAAGAGAAGACACCCTTTTTTCTTTCTTTTTTAATTTAATTTTGAACGGAGGGGGAGGCGGGGCAGCAGCCCCGCCGGCGCGG